TACTTAACCAAACTGCTGTTTTTGAACTGCTACAAAATCTTGTTAGAGCACATCATTTGGCACAAAACACGTTTATATACTGTTTGCCTCTGTTCTTTTCTACAAGCTCCAGGCAAAAAAACCAGAATATTTGCCACGAATCTCGCAGTGCAATCCTCCATTATGAGGTAGTACTGTAGCTGATTCAGACTATCTTTACAGTGAAATGAAAATATGGTAAAAGTTTTGTGGAAAGTTCCCATACTCCTGAGAATCCACGCACAGACCCCAGAGTTAAAAGATCCGTAAATTGAGAGAAGACATGGGTTTAAGTATTACTTGGCTACCTACTAGTTATATAACATTGAGGTAGTTTCATTTCTGGGCTCCCAGTTTCCTTAGAGAATGAAAATATTGGATTACATGATTATTTATATCCCTCCTAGCTGCGATGAGATTCTGTGACTTGGCTGGTGCTAGAGTATTCAAACCACATGGCTGGCTATGCCACTTGGTTACTATGTCGAAAATATTTTGATATTTTGTTGGGCTGTCAGATGACAGATTCTTAAAATTCTTCTCAATGAATGTTGAACCCTAGTGAAATGTTTGTATGGTTTTGTACCAGTTCCAGAATGTAACCACTTCTTTGGCTTTAGATTCCCTTTAAGGAAAGAGAATGCTCCTTGAGTATGTCATTACCATAGTAATAGGCAGAGCTAGAGGACTTTGATGCTAAAGCAGCCATACTCTGTAAATATGGTTCAGAAGGTTTGGGAAGACTGGAATGGTTGTTTCCTTTTAGATACCATAAATGAATTTAAGTTAGGACCCATTAATTTAAAATTTCTTCAGGTAAATTCACTTGCACATGGAGTGTTCATTTACTTTCATTAATGGAGTTTCAGGAAGGAACAGAGTAAATATGTATAAACTGCCATGTTTAACCAGAAGCCTGTATTTGAGGGTGAAGTATCTATCTTAGGTTAGGTAAGGATGGGGAAGAATATCGCCAAGAGATTTTGAAGCTTATTCTGCTCATATTGAGAATATCACAGAACACCATTTGGCCTTATTAGACATCTTATCTAGAAAATAGAGCTGAATAAGTGATCTTCCATATACTCCTTAGAATGTGATACTGACACAGAGGACCTTATAATATAGTAATCCCTGATCAGGGATCTGGAAGCCTGTGTTCATTTAAGGTCCCCAGGTTTGCTATACCTGGTGCTTTCCACACCACACCATACCATACAATACAAAGTGCTTTCAAGGCTCCAAACTTGGCTCAGATCCACTTTAGTGAGCTCCTATGCTATAGTAAAGGCAGACAGCCAATTATTAAAATGGTTAAGACAATTGCACTTCTAGGCAATAGTAGCAACTGCTTTCCTACTTTGTATCTTGAAGTATTTTAAGCAACAGGATGATCTTTATCAACAAATTTAGTTAGCTCTTAAGGTGGTTATTGGTTTGACCCATCTTTCCATTTAGTTCTTTTACCTTCATTTGCCTAAGCCTTCTGTGATACCAACAGTGCTTTTCATTACATGACCTTAGGGAGACCAAACAGGCTAGAAAGTAGAGACAGAAGACACTGATGTCTAATGCTTCAGCTTATACATTCTAGTTTTTTTCGTTAGGGTTTTTGTAACAGTTTTGATATCCTACTGGTGTTTTGGTAGCCTACTGAACCTTGTCTTTCTTCTCAAGGACATTCTGAACACGTGAAACCTGAGAACTGCAAGCAGCTGTAAGAGGCTCCAAATTCAGCAGATCTTTCCTTTTGAGAATCTGGGACAAGCTCTAGCTAATCTGAGCGGATGGCTTGCAAGCCACCTGGAGAAAAAGGTAGTTTGGGGAGCTTATTGTTGTAGGACTTCTGTCTTTGGCTTTAAGGGCTTTGAACTTCCTGCAACTCTCCTTTTAAAAGCAGAGCATAAGCCAGTTTTCATAAGTTTCTACACAATTTATTTTTTGCATATACACATATATTTTAACTTTTCTATAGTGAATTTGGCTCACTTCATTTATCTCTCAGCTGGGCTTCTGTGAAATCTGTAAGGGCAAGCATACTTGATCCCCATTTCATAAATGAAGAATGAGAGATTCAGAGCAATAAATTACTTCCTTTCCAATCCCATAGCTAGTTTGCAAGAGAAATAGAAGGAATCTACACCTTTTGATGAGTGGGCCTTCAAATTATTCCTGCCTTCCTTTGGCATGCTGATATTAAGTTCTCAGGATTTGTTTATGAATAAGACCAATTTGATCTATGTCCGCTCTGTTTGGGCAGGCCAGATTCCATTATCAGTGCCATTTCCTTGTTCTAAGAAATTGAGGGTTTCTTAATTTGAACAACAATTAAATTGCTAAAAGGTGGAATAGGAGAGCCCCGGGGCCTGTGTGAGCTAGTTTTTGAATCCCTAGCCTTCTATACCATGTTTTTCCTTTTGCACAGATTTGATTAGCTGTTGTCATAACTGGGCTGCTATATGCCTTTGACCATTCTTGGTTTCTCTGAATATCCTAGAATTCTGGTGGTGCCCTACTGTACAAGTTGTTCAAGAAATGTTACCATGTGGATTGAGTAGAAAGCAATTCTGTTTACTTTGGCAGTATTCCAGCATGGTAATACTTAAAGTACAAATTAAAAGAGGGGAATGCTGCAAAACTCAGTGGCAGACAGGCACTTTGATTGAGATGGATTGCTCAGTCCTTAAAATAGTGCTTTATAAAAGAAGCCAGAGGCAATGTGAAGGAGAATTCTTACAGAATTCATAGGGTCAGACCACACTGGAGCTTTTCTAAGTGGCTTCATGACTTTCTTGGTTAAGAAAGCTTTAGCTTTTCCTTCCATTAGTTTCAACCCCTTGATTTCTTGCCCCCCACTATATTTTCTGATGAGAACACAAGAGTGTTAATAATCCACATTCTAGAGGGTTGCTTATTAATAAAGACTAGAGAATAAAATGCAGTGTGGAAATTTTGGTAATTATTCAGCTCTAAAATGCTCTTGGAGATGAGGGGAAGTACACGAAATGGAGCTGGAATGAATAGAAGAAGTCTCATGTTGCTAGACTGGTAGCCAGAATAAAGAGCTCTATAGAGCTGTAAATGTTCGCTCCTCAATCCATACAAAGAAAAGGGTTGAATTCAACCACTAGTTGCCCATTGGGACAGACTTTCCCGGTGTACTCCATTTCAGAAATTTATTTTTCTTTTGTCTCTTTTCCAGATCTTCCTCTGAAGAATAGGCTTGTTGCTTTACAGTGTTAGTGACCCATTCCCTTTGACGATCCCTCGGTGGAGATGGGGCATGAGGATCCTCCAGGGGAAAGGCTCACTACCACTGGGCAACAACCCTAGGTCAGGAGGTTCTACCAAGATACTTTTCTGGGCCCAGATAGGAAGATGAAGTCTTGAAGGCAACTGCCACATGTCAAGGTGGGTAAGCTGTCCCTAAAAGCATAATAAGTCATTGATCTTATTTTCCAGTATACATTGCATTTAGCTTTCCACTAGAGGTTGTATTCGTCATTATCCTGTGTCTGCTTTGGTAAAAACAGCTTCCTAACTAACCTGGGAAGCAACTGGGTGAGAGATTGGTGAAAATGATGATGTGTAGAGAGGGTAGCAGGTTGCATGATTTAAGGTGTTTAGGGTGGGAATGTAGTAAGTGGTAGAGGCCTACAACTAAATCGTTCTTGTTTTTAGGAGAACATGGACAACTGCCACATCAACGACACTGATCTCATGGGCGAATAGTTCTGTTCCATCTTGTCCTCAAAGTCTCCTTGAGGCCTAAAGGAGAACTTTGTCAATCATTTACATATAAGATGCCTTGGGATGTCCATGGGATATAACACACAAGAAGCTGTTTGAGAAGATAAATAAGAGTTGTATCTTTTTATGCTGTGTTTGCTGATTGATGGGCACCTCATAATCACAAATGGAAACCTGACCAAAGTTTTCTGTCATCAGGCAAGATCTGAAGAACCGGGACCCTACATTCTCTAGGTCAGTGATGGAAGAGGCTGATTAGTGGGTGAGGGTTGGCAGATGAAAGTGACCATTCAGTGCAGTAAATTCTGATTGTACAGGCATTGTCCAGCATTCTTCATAATGAGTGGGTGCCTTGTAAATTTCTTTCTTTTTTTTTTTTTTTTGGCTGGTAAAGTGAAGCAGTGGGAGTGGAGAATACCTGGTAAATTTCATGAGATGTTTTCATGGGTAGAACCCTTGAAATGTTATAATTGATTAGAAAGACCCATAGATTTAGAAATAGAGAAAATTAGTAACAGAACATAATAGAATGCTAAGGTGAGAGTTATCTAGGAAGATTGCTACTCTATGGTTGTGTTTTGGTAGTCCTGAACCAGGAGACTTAAATGAAGCAAATTTGAGGCAGTCTTGTTCTTAGACCTTATTCCCTTTCCCCCTCATATCTATTATTTGTTTTTGGGATCTCAGCTATTAATCATTTAAAGGGACTCCTTCCTAGCTGATTGGCATGTTAAACAGGATTCCAGTCTTCAACTAAAGGTATAAGCCTGTGACTAGTAGTAGCGTCTCCTAGTGAGTCATTAAGTAATACCGGGCAAGACATTTTCCCATTTATGTCATAGTTTCCTATTCTGTTGAATGAGGAATTGTACTCATTTTATCTCTAAAGAACTAAAAGCTTGACTTTATAAGTGTCTAAGCTCTGTAGAAACACTGTCTATATCATTAATTTCAATCTTTTGTAAGTCTAGCACAGTTCTTAATACCTACAGCATTTACATGGTTTCTCTCTTGTTTTTTTTTAGCTCTTGATTGTTCCCTTCATATTTGCCAAATCATTATCCTTCCCAGAAGCAGTGGAGAGAGTTGGGTTTTCAGCAGGAACAAGAAATTTGAACACTCCAAAGGAACTCAGCCTTCCCATCTGAAGATCAACATGTGCCTGGCACTCTAGCACTTTAGAATAGCAGAATGAAGTAAGTTGTTGGTGTTGCAATCCTGTGAGGATTGCTCCAGAACTAATAGCTGTTTTTGGGGAGTTGGTGTTGGATGGGAATGTGGTGGCCTAACATAGAGCAGGGCCAAATGTGAGATTGGAAGATGAACAGTCTCCCATATTACCAACTGGGTTCACTGAAACAACTCAAAGACATTACAGTCTGCTTACCAGTTGTATCAGAGGAATTTAGCCTCTTTTTGTCTGTCCTATGTCTTCACTGCATAGGTCCTCTGTCATTCTTAGAGGCTTAAACATTGGGAAGCCTAAAACAGTTTTTGCTTTCTGCAGAAAAGGTAGCCCTTTCTAATCTCCATTTGTGAGAGAATATCTGCAGTTAAGGTTTAGTATAAAAAGAAATTTAGACCCTGAAGCAACCATTATAATTGTGAAGGGTGTGAAAACTAAGTCAGTTTTCTAGAGGAAGGGGGAAAGGAGAAGGTATAAAATGAGGGGATTGACTACGTGCTGTGTAAGGGTCCTTTATGGAAATATTCGCTCATCTGTGACGTCTTATTTGGCTCTTATGGAAATCCTAGTAAATAGGTGGAGCAGAATGTTAAGAGGCACACATTCTGTGTTTAAATCCTCTCTGCTACTCACTGGGTGTGTGACTTTTAGCAGTTTAGAGTCTCCCAGTAGACTTGTCTGTTTGTGAGGGTTAAATGAAATAATGTATGTAAAATGCTTAATACAGGTGCCTGGCACATGGCAAGTAAAAGGTAACCCAAGATGTTTCATAAGTTCACTGGATACAATACAAGTGACCACTAACACTATTTGGTAGCAGGCAGAGTTGGCACATTTTGGTTCTATATGAGAAATTCCCTAAGGTAAAAATTTGTTTAAGTAGGAGAGCATTTATGCTGATGGTCGTGGTTGTTTTCATTATTATTGGTAGTAATATAAGTAGTATTGATATAATATTTGCTTATAATAATTATTAATGGCATTTTTTTTGTTTTCTTTTTGTAACCTTTTTGTGATGGTTTTCATGTCTCTTGTGCCCCTCACTGTGTCTTGTTTTTTCTACTTCTTACCCTCTTTTCCTAAATGTTTGCCTTTGCTTATATCTCACTTATAAGTGTGTATTCCTTTGCTTATTTCTTCCTTGAGTGTCTTTGCTCTTTGTTCTCTGTCTACAGTGTCTTACCCATTTCCATGTTTTCTCTTGCTAATTTCTTCTGTGTGTGCCTTTGCCCCATTTTCTCTTTGTTCTCATGGGTGTTCTGTGCCTTCGCTTAGATGTATGTCATTTTTTCATTTTGTTGCTCTGGCTCTTTGCTCTCCTAGATCTCGCTCTTCTTTCACTCTTTCTTCCTTTTGTGTCTCTTCTTTGGGTCACATGCTCTGTGCTTTTTGTGGTTTTCTTGTTCTGCCTGCCTCTCTTCTTTTTCTCTTTGTGAATTCTGATTGTCACTCTTTCCCTTTTTCTTTTGACATTTCACCTTTTTCTGAGTCTGGCCTCCTTTCTTCTGTTTCTACTCCTTATCTCACGTTTCTCTTTTCTAGATTTCCTTTCTGCCTCTCTTGGGCTCTTTTCTCTCCCCCCGGTCCCATGTGCCTCAGTGTCTCTTTGCTGTTTGTGATTTTCTGTTTCAACATTAATCTCTCTGCATGCTTGTGTTTCTTCTCTGCTTTTTCCCTTTCTACTCACCTTTGAGTATTCCAGCCTCTTCATGAGTCTATGTCTCCCTGTCTTTGATTTTATATAATCCTCTCTCCTTGAATTTCTTTGCATATGTGGGCATGTGTATGTGTGTGCATTGTGTGTGACAAAGGGGCTTTGTAACCCCTTCCCAGTAGGTGCAGAATGTCAGCTCATAATGGACAGATGGCCCACAGTAGAAGACAAATGGTTTGAGACCTGAGGGCTAAGATGGAAAGCCCATGTCCCAAGATAGATGAAAACCTCAGCCCTGAGACCAACAAAAGCCTCAAGAGCCAAGATGTACAGAAGGTGACCTGAGTTGGACAGAAAACCTGAATTGGATAGAAGGCCAGAGAGTAGGAGCGGAGCCGAAGGCCTAAGAACTGGGACAGGACACATGGAAGGCCTGAGAACTGAAACCTATGACATAAGGCCCAAGACCTGAGATAAGCCCAAAGTTGTATTTTGAAGACCTATGACCCAAGGATGGAAGACCTCAGACATAAACAATACCAAGTACTCAAACTTCCCTAGATGGACAGAATGCCCAAGAGAAACATATCTTAAGACTACATCCTGGAAGCTGGAGGCCATGACCCAGAACCCAGGAAGAGTTGAAGCCCCAAGACCAAGGGAATTCCCAAGATGAGAACCCTAAACGCTGTCTCTTTTCTATTGTTATATCCCCCTTAGACATTTCCAGTTCTCTTATTTCCATTTAAGCCTGTTTCTTTTGAGATGTACTTTTTTGATGTTGCCATTTACCTTAAAGGAACATATCTTTAGATTGATGGTATTATTCCTGGGCAAGTCTTGACGAGTTTTTAATTACAGTTTTTAGCTATTCGTTAAGGTGTTAGTGTTTTTTAAACTTCCATTTCTATTCACATCTACTCCACTTATGAGAGACACCAAAATGCAGCCAATATCTAGTCTGGCTTTTGTTATTCCTCTCAGGAGCAAGCATCCATATAGGTGACATTATGTTTCAGTCTTCCCTTTTAACCTCAGAAGCCCTAGGCTGATGAGAAGAGGAAAGTGTGAGGCTGTTGGGGAAAAAAAGTGCCAGGCTATCTATAGAAAATGTGAAGAGATACTCCAGGCCAATGAAAAGAATTAGACAAATACACAGATGTGCCAGCGTTCTAAGAAGCACCTGCCAGCAACAGCTTCTTTGAGCGTAGGTGAGCAGGATTCCTGGGGTTTGGGATTTCTAGTGATGGTTACAGAAAGGGTGATTGGGCCTGGGACAAAGTGAGGCCCCAAAGGGACAGCTGAACTCCCTGCTCATAGTAGTGGCCAAATAGTTTGGTGGACTGTGCCAACCCCTACTCCTGGATGTAATAGACATCTCTAGGCTTAAAGATGAGAGAACTTGGGGCTATGCAGTAGGTTTAATCCTTTCCTTAATTTTCCCTCCTTTGTAAGGGAAGTTGATTGAAATGATTGATAATGTGCATGAAAGTACTATAAAACACAAGAGAAAAAAGCAAGGCATGCTCATTAACAGTGTATTGGCAATCATGCACAGCTAACATTTGAAAGTGCAGTGTAAGTTGTAAAGCACTGTGTAAATCAGTAGTCATCACAGTTTTCCTGTAAGGGGTCAGATTGTAAATACTTTAGACTTTGCAGGCCATGTGGTCTCTGTTGCATATTCTTTGTTTAAACAACCTTTTTAAAAGGTAAGAACTATTATAACCTTTTGAGCCAAGTAGATTTGGCCTGCCATTCATAGTTTGCCACCCCCTGATGTAAATGCCAGAGAATATGTCTGAATAATATTATTAATTTCCTTCTCTGTGCCTGTCTCTGTGCTAGGCACTAAGGATGCATTGATTATTTATCACATCCAGGTTTGCTGAAGAAAAATATGTGAAAGTGCCTTGTAAACTCTAAAGCACTTGCACTCTACTGTGCAAGGCACTGTGGATACAAAGAAAGAAGCATGAATAAAAAAGCGCTTTGTCAAAAGAATATCTACTATGCAGACATAAGGAATTAAATGTTCAATAAATGAATAATTTATATATCTGAGGCCAATGTGTTTATGCTGCTCTGGTGATTTTGAGTAAAGATACAGTATTCCAGGTAGCAGAAAAGAAAACACCTGGAAACTACTTTAAAAGTTACTGCAAACACAAGTCATTAAGCTATTGTGATCACCTATAACGTGCTAGCTACCATGCTAGGCACTAGAGATACCGAAGTGTTCTCATAGAACTGAAGATTTCAGAAAAGGAGCACAGATTGAAGTGCTTTGTAAGCCAAAGCGCTATACAAATGCCAATGGGCTACATATTTATGAATGAATGAATATTAACCACCTCTTACCTACCAGATATTGTTTTGGGTATTGTGAAATCAAACGTAAGTTCTCCCAAGTAATTCTCCTCTGTAATAAGAGGAAAGTTTATGTTCTATACTATTTAGATGTAAGGAATGAGATATTGTTTATCAATCAAGCCCTTACTGGTGAGGTCAAGTTAAATTATTACCAGTATATTTTCCAAGGTAACAGAGGAATAGGCAATGAATGTGAATGTGCTTTCTAAACGATAAAGCACTATGTAAATGTAAGACATTACATGATTTCTGTATGAGTAAACTTTCTGTAAGATAGGCATTGTCTCTACAAAATTCTTTTTGTACTTGACCCACAATGAGAAAGGCTGGTATAGGCCAGGCGCAGTGGCTAACGCCTGTAATGCTAGCACTCTGAGAGGCTGAGAGGTCAGGAGTTCGAGACCAGCCTGAGCAAGAACGAGACTCCATTTCTACTAAAAATAGTAAAAATTAGCCGGGCATGGTGGCACATGCCTGTAGTCCCAGCCACTAGGGAGGCTGAGGCAGGAGGATTGCTTGAGCCCAGGAGTTTGAGGCTGCTGTGAGCTAGGCTGACGCCACGGCACTCTAGCCCAGGTGACAGAGCGAGACTCTGTCTCAAAAAAAAAAAAAAAAAAAGGAGAAGCATAGTGTAAATAGTTATATAAACCAATGGTTTAAATATCTGTTAAATGAACTAATCAATTTCAACTGCCTACTATGTGAACTCACTGTTAAAGGCACTGAAGAGATACACAGATGTATTATATTGTATCGTGCACACAGCTGAGAATAAGGCAATACATATGTTAGCATTTGGTGAACTCTAAAGCACCACGTAAGTGTAACTATTGATTTTCTCACTTGGTGCTGAGTACTAGTTTCATAAAATTATATCATAGTTATTATACTATGCAAATAAAGTAGAAAAATTTGGGTGAATATTGTTAACTGTTGAATACTCTAAATATAACTAATATAATATGTATGGGATTCAAAGTCTGACGAGTGCGAGAATGGATAGTAATTATCTAATATGTGCCAGTCTCATTGCTAGCCATTGCAAAGATAAACCATTTTTATTGTGTCCTGGGTAGCAGGAGAAAATATGTATAAAATCAGTTTATAATTTGTAAACTGCCGTAATATATAAGCAGTGTTTGTAAACTGCCATAATATATAAGCAGTGTGTGCAGAATGAACATTGATTATTTACTCTTATCCTCAGAGATGGCAACTGAGGGCACAAAAATTGATTATCATTATTACTGAACCTGCAGCAGACATCTGTGTGTAAATTTACAGAGCCTTCAGTTCAATAGATAGGAATTAACTATCAGCTTATCGAATGATCACTGATTACTTTCTGTGAGGCTTAGAACTACATGCCCTAGGATATAAAAATAATGTTATCATTATGGGGTGCTCACAGGAGGAAATGAAATAATAGGTGTGAGATCCAGACCAAAAGTCACTTAACTACTATTAAGTCAATGTGTCAAATGCTGAGCTAATTTGAGAGACAAAATACTGTCCAGAAGGATACATCCTCCCTGGCCTGATGGAAGAGATGGAAAATATTTCTAAAAGCAAGATGTTGTGGTCCTCCATCCAGTTTCTTAAATGGTGAATGCTGACGATGGAGGTGAATTAGGCCTGCCTTGGCCTGGCTTAGAGACAGTAAAGGATTAAAAATAAAGAGCTCACATTTGCTTTTTGATTCATTTGCTGAACAAAGCATCTTTTAGATGGAATACACCATTCTGGGCTGTAATAATAAGAGAGGTGAAATGGGCCTGGTCTAAAAGGCACTAAATCACTGATCCAGCTGAAGACAGAAAAACATCTTTGATTTGATTATTGCGTAAATAATATTTCATTGCCTGTCCTCTGCAAGGTACTATGCTTAATGAATAAGTTAACGAGGTCTGGTCCAGAAGACCTATTGACTTGCCTTGGAGATTAAAAAGAAGGAAAAAGGCAAGGTTCTTTCAACATAAAATGGAGACTTTTTTTCTAGTTCCAGAAATCCTCAAAATCACTTGCTCATTGGCCTAGTTTGAAGCCAGAGGACTGCTAAAAGGGCTCAGGGTTTGTCCTTTAATTCATTAATTAAACATCTGCTTTTATTATAGTTAAATGGTTCAAGATGAAGCAACTGGTTTTAAAGGTATTTGCTCATTGGCCTGGCTTAGTGTCAGGAATACACTTGAGCAATAAAAAAAGCTTCTTTCGTATTTATCATTATTTAGTAAAAAATTATTAAATATGAATTAAGTGCTGTTCTTAAGTACTTAAAAGACATAGACCAAAATGCACTTTATCTCATTAGTTTATGGAGGAAACAAGAACAAATTTTATAAGACACTGCATTTCTTTCTTTAGTTGAAAAAATCTTCATCAAACAGCTGTGATATGTAAGACACTG